ATTTTTGGCGATCTAAAAGATGTAGGCTGGATTTGACTTCCGGGTTCTGGAACACAATTTTCTCAAACAGGGCTGCATTCCATATTAGATAGGGTGCACGCCCCGGATTGAAACATGTTTTTTTTCACGAACTAGCCGGCGTGAACCCAACCAACACATGATGAAGGTCCTTCTCCGGAGGTCCTTCTCCGGAGGTCCTCTTAATTTTAGTGATTTCCGTTGCGGAGCTAAACGGTGACATGCCCAGATCAAGACCTGCATTTCTCTAGCTATCCACTGGTATGGGGTTATTGAAGGTGGGCGTCTTGGAGTGGATCAAGTGAGCCAACTGCCAAAAGACATACATGTTTTTTCAAACGAGGGACCCTTCGCGCTGGTCGGTACGCAGGATTCTATGTTGGTCACCTACATTTAACTCAACAATTAAATGATAGTTTTCTCTATCTGATCCCGGATAATTAGACCTGAATAATAAATATGCATGGCTAATCTCACAAAGCTCTTGGATCTTTTGCAAACCCTTGGAGTTACGAGCTACCGGAATGTCTACAAGTCAAAAACCGCCTGGTTGTGTGTGTGGTTTGCGGACGTGGACCCGCGAAACGGTCATGCTTTCCTCAGTGAACCAATGCCAGGGGATCGAATCAACCGTTCTGCCGACAAGTCTCCAGGTTTCAAGGTGCCCGAATAAACTGATCCCTTCTGAAAATACTGCTGTAGGTTTTGCTTGTCCTTAGAGGCTAACCATCATGCTGGCGACCCTCCAATGGTCCAAGTTGCTTCCATTTGGGTCTGTCTGTTTTTTGGGGTGGTTTGAAAGGAGAACCAAGAGGAGCACAACCATCTTGGGGTACTCGCCCTGTCTGCATTTGTCTTCTGGGTTGGATTTTTTGTTTACAGTATAAATATATCGTGTTATCTCCATACAGGAAAATGCGCGAAAACACTTTTTCCTAGGTCTTGGATCCAGTACAACCTCTGCGAGCAGAGCTGCTGGGACTATGGGCTGGGCTACGACGGCACGGACTGCTCCGTGGGGTGGCCGAATTTGAACTTCGCGGGCTACGTGTGCTCCGTGGACCCGGCCGCCAAGGCGGATCCCTCAACTTGAGGCTCTGTGGCCCCGATGTGTCATGTCCTTCGGTTTCCAAAAGGCCACTCGGGTATCCCTAGAAAGGCCACTACTTTTGTTTGAAGGATCCCAAGTTGTTTGGATTCTTCAAATGCTTGGGGTTCCAACCCAGGTCGGCGGCATGGTGACCATGTCTACGAACCCCAGCTGCGAGCACCCAGTCGTCGCTATGCGGATCCTCGGCGGCAGCAAACAAACGACCTATGGACTGTGAGCGGAATTTGTTCAAACCAGACCCTGGTCCGCTTGAAAGAGGAAGCAAACGGATCGAGGTTGTGCAAAAGCAATAGGTGTTTGAACATTTCCAACCCTGCCTTTCGAGCTTGGGCAAGCAGTTCCGGGGGCGTGACATATTCCAGGAAACGCCATTTTAGACTTGCATGATCTCCGGAATTTGGCCAGCAAAAGAAGCAGTATTCGAGCATCGCGGCATGCGCAATGGACCGGCAACACGAAATCATGGAGTGCTCATGTTGCAGAAGCACTTCAATTGCTTTTAGGCTGACATCTACTTACCATAAGTTGATTCGCGGTGTTCTAAACCTTGCTACATGCAAGTCCCTCAAAATCCCTTGCGGGGATCAAAAGGGGAAGGATTCTGTCAGAAGATTGTCGCACTCCGTACTTGATGCCCAACACCACGGTTCAGCACGGCGGAACACACGCAAAATGACTATCTAGCAAGAAGAAAACGAGGAGGGTGGGGGAAGAATGCGTGCGCCCCAAAACAAGATCTATTGGAGAGTCCTAGAAATTCCGTGTCCGCATGTTTGGATATTGCGCAAAGAAACCGCAATGGAGGGGTACTCCCTTCAAATGTACCCAAGAGCAGTTTCCTCTAAATATCATGCCGTTTGGGTTCCATGTCAATCTGCGAGAGGGTATGATTATTCGACGGAACTCTTATCTTTTGCTTTGCTTCTCGGCCCTTTGGGCATGCAGTTGCCAGGAACCAGAGGTACGCTTTCCCAAGGCTACCTTGACCCACCCCATGTTGAGGGGCCATCCTAGGGTAAACCTGCTGATGTCACTTTCATCGACCTAGGCACGAAATGACCAAGAATTGCTAGTTTCTCCAAAGGAAACCAGCTTTGGACCTGGATAGTTGTTGAGAACTTTTCCAGACTCGGATCTTTCGCACCCAGAAACCCAGACCGAATCGATTTGGGCCCGATCCGAAGGATCCCCAGCATCTGGCTGGAGGGCCTCAGTGACAGCAGCGCCACTTTTGCGGAAGTGCGGCCGGGCATCATGGTGCTCTCACAGGCGGCTTGAAATGCCCGGGGAGGGGGTTCAGATGAAGCCATTTTGGGGCTTCTTTCCTGGCTGATTTGGTTGCATGTCCTTTGCTCCAGCAACTTTGCCCCAGGGAACTATCTTCACAAGCAATCAAAACCTGCGCCGAGCTGTTGACGAACTATCTCACTGTCACGGTCCGGCAAGATGCCTTTAAGTAACAAGTGTTTATTATGACTCAGTGCTCGTCAGTTGAGGGAAAGGAGTGAACCAGCATGCCCATCTTCAAAGCCCTCGCCTGAGGGGGCTGAACTTGGGCAAGAGCCGTCTTACGCACTCCGTATCATCCCTAGTCTGGACAAGTAGATGCCGGTCCTCATCCTGGCGCCAGCTGCACAGCTGGCCGATTACGAAGAGGATGAACTCTGCGTACACGCGTGGGCCGGCAACTGCAGCATGTGCTTCCCAACCGGCATAAGCTGTGCAAGTGAGCAGGAGGTAGAGCCATCCCTCCAAGCAGGACCTGCGGAGCAAACGGATCCACGTACGAAGCAACCAACTCAACAAGGGCGCAGCGGAGAAGCCTCTGATCACCAATTGCATGTTGCGTCGCACAACGTCAGCCCGATCCGGGTTTTCACTGCCTCGCGCAATTGCGGCTCCGGCTTCGGTGGAATCGGCCGCATGTTCAAGCAAGTTGTGTGCTTTCTTCTGAGCATCACTTTTTCTGGGAAGAAACACATTTTGCTGGGACCCCCGCATGTTTGAGCCAACTTGAGGTTGGTCTGATCGATGCAGGCGCAGGCTACTTGCGACTTGGGGCACACGGTGCAGATCAATGGCAAGGCTTACCGGCATGACTCCAGGCTCGCGGGTTGTCCTCGGGAAACCACCAGAGGTTCACTAAACAACTCTGGTCTTGCGGTGTTTGACAGATAGAGGGCTAGCATTCAACTTGTTGCAGGGGAACCGGTTGAAAACCAGGTTATCGCCCAGCCCTGCCAGGCTCAAGCTTGTGAACGCGGAAGCCTCCGAGCAAGAGATGTGCACCTTAGCTGCGTGTTAGAAGCTGCTTACGTTGTTTTGTCTGGAAGCACCATGTCCTTTTGGAGGGGCCTCTGTGCTTTTCGCAGTGTTGAAGTGGTTTCTTCCTGATGGGGGTGAGGGGCCTTGATGAGCGAATAGCGGTTTGTGTTGATCTGTCTTCATGACTTCTGTGTCCGGAGCGGGATTCATGATACAGCAAGAGCAATGGCATCAGCGATGGGTATGCAGGTTTAAAAGCATGGCGCATGAACTTTGAGGTTTGCAGAGAGGCGTGGCAGGGATGAAATTTGAACACACGGTGGCGTAGGTGCAAATGAAACCATAAATTGGGGGTGAGCTCCCATGAACATCACGGACCATTTTTCTGGAAGCTACTCCTTTGACTGGCCCCGCTGGACGGCTTTGACCATCGTTCCAATTTTGAATAAACATGGAAGTGGACATGGGGCCGGTTCAATAGGACTCTTCCAAGCCCTGTCAGCTTCCACAAGTCTTGGAAGTAGAACAAACCCTGTCAGTGTAGGATTCGTCGCAAGCATCCTGTCAGCTTCATTGGAAGAGCGCTGAAAAGAAGCCAAGGCATTCCGATTCCGCCCACGCTCTTCAACATCCAGGCGGGAATGATCCGGCGGATCCAGCTGATCCGGGCCCCCAAAGAGGGGGCGCGTAAGGCGAACGGAAGGCGAGCCCACTTCAACAGATAGACGCTTCGCATCGGGAAACAATGCATCCGAAAAGCGTATACCTGCTGTTGTTCTTTGAAAGCATCAGGCGAGTTTCGGGGTGCAACTTTTGGTTGGAGTGTTGCTTCCATTTCTTTGGGGGAAAAAAACTGTGTGTGTGCGGGGGTGGGTGTGTTTGTGTGTGTGTGTTCAACTGTTCGTTTGTGTTTGTCGGCTCCAGGACTGCAAGGTGCAGAAGGAGGGTGTGTGCAGCGTCAAACAGGCCACCGCCGCGGCGGTGACGCTGGACGCCACAGCCCGGCAGCTCATCTCCACCAAGACAGGCGCCGTGACCCGTGGCCGTTGGGACCCGTGGCCGTTGGGACCCGTGGCCGTTGAGGCCCAGGCCCTTTGGTGGACATCATTTAGGTGGACATCTTATGTCTTCCAACCATTTTTGAAGGGTTCACTATGGAAATGCAGAGCATTTGTTTTATTAAAGGGAACTTACAACGACAACAAACATTTTGGAACCCCCAGTAAGTGGTAGGTTCTGTGCGGCCAAGCTGGGTGGGCAGCTTCATAAGTTGTGGTGAACGCAAATTGAAAGGTTCCCAATTATTTTGAGAAAGCACGGTTTTCTGGGCAATTTTGTGCAAAGAAGGAGTCCTGAGAATGAGGGAGGTGCTGCTTGGAAAGGCCGGGCCAGAAAGCGGTGCGCAAGCTAGGTTGCAACTTGTTTACAACATGGTCAATACCATGTGTTGGTACTTACAAGTAGGTCAAGCCCTAGTTTAGCCTAGGTTAGTAACCACCTACCGTCTTTGCTGACGCCCAAACATGCAGTCCAAAATCCGGCCACTTTTGGACGAGCTTTCTCTCTATGCATAGTTCAGCAGGTTCGCCTTTCATTTCCGGAATCCTTGGGCAATTCAGGCCTGTCTGTGAATATATATTTGGGTTAGTGTATGTAGGTCCTTGTTTGTGTGCGAAAGGGGCTGCAGTCTCCCCTGCTCAGTTTTCGAAAGGCGGTTTGTTTCACCCTTCAAACGTTTCTTTTTGCACACTTGGTTTAATTGTTGTGCTGTAGAAAGTTGAGACTGCAAATCGGATAGGGACGGGCGCTTTTGCGAGTTGAGTCCAGTGACTACGCTCCTTACACATGGGTTCAAGCAAAGGTAAGTTACTTGGATGATTGGCCAAGCTACAAACTAAGTGGTTAGCCTGGGTTATACGCCGCTGATTTCAGGATAATCTCTGCTTGTAGCTTTATTGACGACTTGATTTATGCATCCGAATCCCCATTTACAAAAGTTCGAGTCACTGACCAAGATCGGGAAGCCCTTCACAATGGGTGGTGTCCTTGTCGCTTTCTCCAAGCTAGGCCTTCTTTCGGCGAATGTCCACCGGTCCCTGTTGCATGTGTCATTTTCAATAGCAAACTATATGTTCCTGACGGTTCCTATTGCAAGGATCCAAGCCCTTCCGTACAGGTGTGAGGAATTCCCGATCGTCCCCACAATTCAGGGTCCCTAACAGAATACGCTTGGCCCAGTCCAGCCTGCAGCTGATCCAGAGGCTCCAACTCATTGCTTTCAGGAGGTTTGGAACCTCTTGGGGTCAAGGTTACCTCCACCTTCAGGTTTTTAAGGGATCCGTGTTTGGTTCTTGGAATCCACTTAAAAAAGCAACCAACACAGAAAAGGTTCAAAGCCTTTTTCTATCAAAACTGCATCATTTTTGTTGGGGTTCCCCATTCCCCACTGGACTGAAACTGGTTTCCCCCCAAACAGACGGCTTCCAGATCTGTTTTGTGCTCTTGGGTCACATGTCACAGGCCGCTCCATCTTCGCCGTCTCGGGCCTGCGCACGTCCAGCTCCCCCTGCGCCACGCTGAGTCGCTGGCGGCAGCTCGACTGCGCGTCCTCCAGCTGTACGGCCTCATCCCTCACCACGGCGGACCGCGACCTGGTGGCGCAGGCGCTCGAGCGCCAGGCCGGCGGTTTGAAGCTTTGCTCGTCTCGAGAGAGTTGTCTCAAAGTTCTAGGGGTTGATTCCGATATATTCCGATTCCATTCTTTTTAATCATCGTTCTTTCCAAAAACCGGCCGTTCTCCCTGGGTTTCCGGAGGTTTTCTAGAAAGAAGCATCCCTGGAAAGAATGGGGAAGGTACCCCTAGAAAAATAGGACTTAGCACCCAAAAACTTCGCGAGGATGTCCTCTTTTGGTTTCCGCAAACCCACCAAGGCGGGGTTGCTCAACAAAGGCGCATGTGTGCTTCGTGCCGGGGAAGGGGGCCAGAACGGTTGGGGGTTCGATGGTTTTGTTTGGATGCTATGCTGGGTGTGGGTTTGAGTTTGTGTGCTGGTTTTGGATGTTGAGCCAGCTGAAGTACCTTTTTACTATGGACATGTTTCGGGTTAGACCCCTTAAAGCCACGGTTACAACCTACTTGCCACTTGTAAGTGGCTTGAATATGGAGCAACTCTCAGTATGCGGGGTGGAGTTATTGTACTACTAACTTTGACTGGGTCAAATCTGGCTCGAGCACCCAAACTGGCCCCGCAAGTGGTGGTTGTCATTTTGGTTTCCCTTCTAAAACAATCTGCAAAGCTACCCTCAAACAGCTCACACTCAAGAAGCCTTTCTCGCCGTCTTGCCAGGACGGGCAGTACCGCGACGTCTTCGTGAGCTGTTCCAGCGTGCCTGCGGGAGCTGTGGTGGTGCTTTCCGGTGGCACCTTTCAGCACATCCACATCCATGAAGGTCGCTCGCAGCATGGGCAGAGCCCCTTAATTAATTACCTCCAATCGTGGAAGCTGTCAGGAGGGGGTTGGAAGACTGTTGTCCTTTTGGGGAAGTTCCGTGTCTAATTTCATGACTGTTGAAAAAGGGGTACAGGATACATTTGCCCCAGTTGAATAGTCCTTTTTACTAGCTGGTTTAGAGGATCTTTCACCCTGTGTGAACCTTGCCTTCTGGTCGATTCCATTCCCTGAAAACCGTTGATTCGCTAGATCCTTCAGAAAGCTGCCAAAACCACCTCCCAACAACTCGGACCAGTTCTGGATGCCCCTTAACCACTGGCAAGGCCACTAAAATAGGAATGACTGATATGGGATGTGCTTGATATGTTGCCGCTCTTGTTGCTGCTGCTGCTGCTGTTGTTGTTATTGTTTATGATGGGTGGTTGTCTTGAGTGCCGTTCTCAGACATACATGTTTTCAGACATACACCCCAAAGCCTTTCGACAAACACACCCCTTCTGATTGCTAAGGGCTGATTGGTTCCAGCAATAATTATGCATAGTCCCGTTGGTCGTGGGACAATGTTTACAGAGGTGACAAGGATCTCTCTGGAGAGAATGGGGGGGGTGGTTTGGGCCAAGGTGATTTGCAATTTGCAGGTCGACAGAACGTGACAGAGTTCCACGCTGTCCAAGTGCCATGAAGAAGCTGGTTCCCCCCAGGAAACTAACAGCAAATGAGTATTTCAGATAAGTCTTCATTATGGCCCAAGAAGCACGCAATAATGACAACAAGCGGATAAACAAAGCGTCTTTTTGCACCGTCAAAAGGGCCGAACTTCTCACTGCAAGTTGAAAGCGGATGGCTTCCCTTTGCTGGGCACAATAGGGTCAAACTAGATGGCACAATGCCAGTTTCTGTTGGGAAGTGAGAGAGATGAGCCCCACATGGGGGAATTGATTCGCCATCTATAGTTTCACCCAACTGTACCCTTCCCAAAACGTCGCTCTCACAGCAGGGTTCCTTAAAGGATACAAAGGAACCTACAACCTCACCGACTCGTGACTAAGAATCCAGCGGAAGAAGCTGAGCAACTTTGCCAAAATCTTTTCGGTCTCCCAGGTTTTCGGCTGTTTGGCCAGTTTCCAGATGGATTTTGTTGAGGGAGCCTTCAAAGGGTGGTGTCCTCAGTTCCCTTCAGTCCAGCCACCAAACCCTCCACAAAAGACAGGTCCTTTGGCCACACACCCACGCTGGTTTCATGGATGCAGGCAACATCTACGACTTTACGGGCTTCTCGTCGCAGCACCCGGGCGGCGCAACAGCCATCACCAAGTGGGCGAGCTCCGGCTATGAGCACCTTGGATGTCATCGGCCGGTGGTTTTGTTGATGCCGGTGGAACGTGCTTCTGCTTTTGTTTGGGGCTAAACAGATACACGTCTTACTCGCGTTTTGGTCACTAAATTTGAGTTTCAAGTCCCCCACGACCCCGTTGTAGTTGTTCAGGCCTTTATGTTCTGTGTTCCCTTCAGCCTGGCTTAAAGGCGCGGGGGATGGGGGGGTCCCGAGGTTTGAGCCACAGCCAAAAGGAGAACCACCTTTCTTCCTTTTTTAGAGGTGTTTCTGGACTCAATACTGTTTGGGACTACCGGCTTAGTGGTTGACAACAAGTTTGAGTTTTTCTGGGCCAGTCCACTCTAGAAGCGAGAAAGCCAGCAGCACTTGGCGTTTGAACAGTGATTGGCCCGACGTTGTGTTGGGTGTCGCAGTTTTGGGCTGGTTGTCGAGAGCAAGAAAGAGAGCAACCAGGAATTGAAAGCCATCATTTTGGCTCACCTGTCCGAGGCCGCGTGCCATTTGGTGTTTCCTTCACGGGGGTTCTCAAAATGGATTTCAGTCCTGTGGAATTGGTGCACAAAGCCGAAAGGAAAGCTAACAAATTTCAGGGGGCCGATTCCGACCGTGAGAAAGCGCCAGCTGGTGGTCCATGAGCTCACTTCCCCGCTTGTTCCGGTGGATGCCCGACACATAATTGCAAGTAAGCCGACAACAAACCATGGGGATGTACAGGGTTTCCCTGGGTCACTACTTGCAACATCAAGGGCATCCACCATCTCACCTTTGAAATTTGCGTTTGAGCAGGTTGGTCATCGGAGAGTGCCCATTTGAAGCCTTCACGGGTTGCCACATGAGCGTTGTTGTTTTTTTTCCGGGAGCGGAGGGAGCATGGTCACAACCTCCTTACTAAGGTTGGTGGAACACAAGCAACTGTCTTAGAACCAAAAGTCATCGGGATGTGTCATCACTTGTCAAACATGGGTTTTGGAGGTATGACGGTTATATATCACTTCTACGAAGGGCATGTGCTGGCTTACAAGCATATAGTTGTTTTTAAGCATACCTCCAGCAAGGAAATGCCAACTTGAACTTTGAGGCTGAGCTTCCCGTCCAATCATCCCATGGACCGCTTCGACTCCTACAGACCCTCCTTGGGCTATGTGGGCCGCAGCGGGGATTCCATTCAGTACCTCGACCTCCCAAGTTATCTGCGGAACGAGGAGCTCAGCCGGACGTGGCCCTAAACCACAAGGGTGTTCAAACAGGCTCTCTCATATTACGCATTTCCCCCTCCAAATGGGTGGCTTTCTTTTTGGTTCGGTGGGCAAGGAAATGTGGCTAAGTCAAATATATATATATATATATATGGGAGTCGTTCTAAAGGTCCTTGTATGGAGTTTAGTAATAGGTGACCATCGGTGTTGGTTGAGGTAGCTCCGCGAAAGATTCGCGATGGAGTTGCGAAAGGGACTTTTTGTCTCGCGAAAGTTTTGCGTAACTGCGTCTTGCAAATCAATGGTGTGTGAAACCATTCATCTTTGTTGGTGAGCCTTCCTTCTAAGCTAATTAAACCACTTTGTTGATTTTGCGCTGATAAAGCCTGGTGAGGTTATAGCTTGATACCCTGCTTGGCTGGTTCGTACTCCCAGCCTGTGTATGTGTGCCTGTGGGTGTTCAGTCGGTGGCTTTCCGCTCTGAAACGTGGGTGATGTTTTCGATTGTAAGGGGAGGTACTTTCTGAGCGCCGCGCTAGTCAGTATACTAGCTTGGTACTGGAAAGTTGGGACTTCAAGCTGGAGCTGCACGGCTTACGCAAAGCTGCGTCTTTCCAGCCGGTGCATGTCATGCACTACCCTTGTAATGACAAGTTGCGACTTTACAGCTGGAGTCGGGGAGTCAAATTTCGCGCACTACGCTGGCACCTAAAAGCTGCGATTTTCTGAATTGAGGGGTTGATGGGAAACCACCTCCTACCTCTAACGCGCCAATCCAAACCACCAATTGCATCAACTACCATCTACAGCAACCCCTTCATAATCTTCTTGCTGGCTTCCACAAAACCCCAAAAAACAACACAGGACGCCCCATGTTTCCCAGAAAACTCCATACGGCTGGAGAGGGTCTTTTTCACCTCTCGCCGCAGGAGCTAGCATTGGAGCTGGCAAACCTCACGAGTTCCCCGGGTTTGTCCCTTGCGTGTCCTTCACCGGGGGAAGTGGCCAACAACCCGGCGATGGGTAACGCGCCGGCTTTTAGCCTGTCCAGCCTGTCCATATTTGTCCTTGCTTGCTCATGCAATATCCGCCAAATGGCGGTGTGCTTTTGATGTTCCTGTATGACACCGTAAAACCACAAGGGGGGAGGTATCCTTAAAATAAGACACGCCCATATGGGAGGAAGTTGCCTTTCTGAGACGCGTCCTTGCTTGTTCAAAGGGAGTTTGGAAATGAACCCCCTGAAGAGCTTACAAAATGGTTGGTGTGAGTGTTCAATATTTTTTTGATAACAAGCAAGTTTTCCCGTGCCTTCGAGTGAACATGGCAGGACCTCCCTGCTTTTAGCCCATGTAAGGCCACAACTTTCACCTCCATGTGGAATTCGATACCTTCCAGGCAGGGTGAGACAAATAGCAGTTCAAATGCAGGTTACCCGGGCACTGGCTGGGGGATGGAGTCCAGGGTTCCTCCACACCCCACCGCTGTGTGCGGGTATCCTTTGAAGCTGATAAAGTTGAAAATGTTCGATTGGCCCAACTGCACTCCAATGTTCACCCTACATTTCCAAATCTGTTCTATGAAGGGGGGGTGTTCCCTCCAAACGTGATGCATGCGGGACCACCTTTTGGTTCAGTGTTAGTCGTCCTTTGGGCACCGCGTTTTCCCCCTGGCCAGTCTGGGGGCTCCGCTAGGTGAGACGTGCGGACTCGGACTTCGACTTTCCGCCCAGCACCCAAAACCTCTCCCGGCCCTTCACTGCCCGCTTCAACGTTTGGCTGGGCCAAGCCTTGGAAGCCAAGGACCGAAAGGTTCCCTTCGATTCCGCGGAGGTTGGAAAATTGAGTTTGGGCTTCCGGGGGGGCATTTGTTCAGAGCGGGAATCAAAACCGACCGGCACACACACACACACACAGCAAGACAGCTTTTGGACAGCAGGGCATAAACAAGTAGCAGTGGTTGCAGAGTGCTGACCCGCCGAATTTACAGGGAGACAAAGTGAAGGGTTCCCTTCGGCGTGCTAGACAAAGCGTTCTACTTGTTTTTTGTTTTTTGAAGCAGCGTTTTCTGTTTTGGTTGCATTCAAGAGCGCCTCCATGACTCACTTGTGGGCAGGGGCAGTTGCAGGTTCCCTGCAAAGGCATACCCCGTTTACGCCATGCTACTACCAATATCAGACATCATATGTGGGCAATCCAGTTTGGAGCCACTGGGGGCGCACCAGTACGGGGTACATATTAGCGGCCCTTGAAACAAGGCAAGCCTCCGCAATTTTCAGACCCCTCTTCCAGAATTTCCACCCGCATCCCTCAATTTCCTTTTTTGGACAATTTCTCACCCTTAAGAGTAGCAGTTTCAATATTAATGGAGCCCAGCTGCAAGTTGCAATTTGTTAGGGTGAATTCTTTGACTAACTTGTAAAGGTGAGCACGCCTTTTCCGGTGGCCTTTCCGATCCCCGAGAGGACCAGCTGAGGGCGCGAACGGCGTGGGCGCTGTCCCAGATTCTCGTGACGGGCACTGGGGGCTTTGCCCATACGCACCTCGCTTGAACAGATAGTCTAGGTGGGTGGCTTCTGTTCGGCTCTATTCAGCCCCTACCTTCATCCACAATCTGGGCAGTGCACGGGCGACACATACGAAAGGCTTTGGCCCCAATGCCTATAAGTTGTTTTTTGTTGTAGGCCCCAACCCAAAAAAATTAAAGTAAAGAAAAAGAAACTTACTTGTCCACAACATTCTGGACAAGTAGAGGTTCTCCCACGAAAATCAGTGCCTGCTCGAGCATTTTTTTTCTATCTCCTGCCGCGGGGTTGATTCGATTTCTGAACAATAAAAAGCACGTGTCGTATGTAAAACACCTGGGCTCAATGAAAATTGCAAGTTCAATTCAGAAATCAATCAATGAAGAATGCCCAAACAAAATATGATAAGGTGTACCTTGCTTGCATCCGAGATATGCTAGCACATGCCATGAACGCATACAAGCAGTTGACCTTGCTTCCATGCCGCAGCTCGGCAGTTTATCAAAAATCGCATTGCCGGCATAGTGTGCTCAAAAACTATGGACACAAATGAATAACGTTAGCTGAATTGTTAGCAAGCTTTGTAAATGTGCTAAGTTAGGGCAATTTGAATGATTTATGTACTAAATTCTACTGAAAACTAAGTTATATGTCGGAAAATAATTCCTATTTAATGTGTATCTTCAGAATCCAATTGAATTCCGCCCGTATTTGATTGCATTGGAATGCTTATTTGGTAGGGAAATCCTATTTAAGTTCTATTTGAATCTAGAGATTTTGGTGAACTATGTGCTTCAATTCGGAGCATATACCTATTTGGAAAGAAAGTCATATGTGGACATGTTGGAGGACTCCCGGCTAAATCATAAAACTTAGAGAAAGCACGCTTTGACATTTCAAGGATTCAGATCTACAGATTCTAAACGTCAGGTGTTCCAAAATGGAAACTTCAAGCGATTCGAGGTCCGCAATGCTGGTAAACGAGTGTCCCACGCAGTACACCAACACAGGGTTTATAATCGTTGAGGCCTGTTTGTAAAATAGATCTTTTCAAGGGTTTGGATCGACTCCTACTCTTTGACAAGTTCTAGGAACAACATGTTGTTCAACGGCAAGCAATTGCCCGTGCTTTCCAGTAGCTTCTACAACCCTGTGATGTAAACCCAACTCCGGGGGTCGGGGGGTTGGGGGGGATGATCAGCCTCGGTTTCCTGGGGCGGGGGGGATATCAGCCGAATATGTTGCTCAATGTTGTGCAACACGGTTGGCTGGTTGGTTGCCTGTGGTTGCTTGTTTTGGGAGGGGGGGGGGCAGCTCTCTTGGGTGAGGGGGCGTGCTGTCATCCTGATGTTGTTCTTCTTCGTCAGGGGGCGTAGCATATATACATATATACATGCTTAGGCTTCCATAGGTCTACCCATGATCCCCCACAGCCTGATGTTCCTCAATGGTGATCACCTTGCAATACATCTCACTGCCCACTTGTTCAGTGGCACCTGTGTTATGTTTTTACGTGGCAGGTGCGGAAAAATGTTGATCTCCCCAGCAAGACATGGTTCAAATTATTCTTCCACTTTCACGCCACTTGCAACCATTCACTTTCCTCGAATTTCCTCCCCGAGTATGTTGTGTTCTATGGTAGACACATTTACCATTGGAATCCGGATGAATGAACCCATCCTGCTAATATGGGTGATACCCATGAAAGTGACGAGGTCCCAGACGGAGATCTGGCTGCACTACTACGACATTTTGGCGCGGCACGCCTTTGGGAACTATTTGGACCTGCTGCGCGAGGTCACCTTTAGCCCCCTCATGGGCGACCCAGCCGCACGTGGAGGGGCTGCATGCCGTTGCCCGCATCCTAAGATGCGACGGCTAAGCACAAAATCCATGTCCCCTGATAGGTTAGCTTGCTCAAAATCACCCCTTCATGGTAGTACTACGGATGATGAATTGTTTTGTGAACCCAATTGCAGCAGTTGCTGGGTTGCTTTCTTCGGGGTTTTTCATGATGTTTTTAAGTAGAACTGGTCTCACAATGAGTTTTTCTGACCTTGAAGTCGGAGACTATCAGAACACTTGCAATATCTAGAGGCAACCGTGCCACACTTGTCACACTTGGCTCCCCTGGTTTTGTTGAGACTCTTTGTGCCGACGGGTCAACGTTAGCCCAGACAGATTTCTGTCTACTCGCCTTTCCCTTTGTTTTTGCAGGCGTCTCCCTGAACAGAAGCCACACAAATGCATCTTTCACGGCCGGACGCTAAGGAGAGTACTTGTCCTACCTTAGGAACTCGGCCTATGATCATGACCAGAATTACCCAGATGAGAACTACGCGCGCGAGGCCGCTTCGGCTTCAGAACCCGATGGTTGAGTTGAGGGCATAGAGGGCCCACTCGGTGTCCCCACGAAATGGGTGGGTCGCTTTTTTGAGGGTACGGGGGATGCCCTAAGTATTGAAGGCACACCAACCACACTCAAGCAAAACACCACGGGGGCATTACGGGAAATCTGCGGTTTCCGTGTTTTCCTACTTGCAATACTTGAGACCCGCCGTACCTTTGTCTTGTTTCTTTCAAACCCAGCATTTTGAGGGCCCAAATCCTGAAGAGAAAGTAGTGAATGATTTGGAATAATTTGGGCGAACTCCCACCAATTTCATCCTCTCATCTTATAACTCCGGCTCTGTCAGGGCTCCCAATACTTGATGTTGTTTGTTGTGGTTCGGGGTGATGTTAGGGGCAGAGGGGAATTAGAGCCTGAAGGTCATGCAGCTCTTTACCATCGGCACCGTGAAGCTGAATGCCGACGGGTCATCCGTGTTGGACTCCACTGGCAGCCCTGTACCCACCTACGACGCTTTCCGCGCTTGGTTAGTGGTGGGAGGGTGGGGTGGGATGCGGAGGCTGGGTGGGGTGGGGGGAGTGGGGGGGGGGGTGGTGGTGGCGTCCCCAAAAGAGGTAAAGAGCTACCGAGGAAACCACAAGGGAACTCATGGTTCCTAGTTGGAGGGACGCATGGTTTGCAAGTGTCCAACTTTGTGGTCGTTCAACTAGCTTTGCTTTTCAGTTTTGTTTGGGGCCAGTCGAGTGGTGCGCAGCTGAGTAAATGGAAACTGGTCCCCACAAGCTCAATTCCTGTTGAGCGAACCCAGGAGTTTGAGGTTGTGTTGGCCCAACTTAGCCAGTGAAACTCAGGACAACGACCACATCATGTCCTTCGCGCGAGTCTTTACAGGGCTGGACCGGCAAGATGTCCGCCCGAACATGGAGCAGGCACTTGGCGAGATGATCCGCTAGCACCAATTGGCATGGATGACCCCCAACGAACACTGAGACGCACCTACCAAGTGGTGCGAAATGGTTTTTCTCCTCGGTTTGCGCTGCAATGCTGCCAGAGCCCAGAGAAAATCCATGTTCTGCCGTTCCTCAATCCGTGGGCGCCGTCCCCTGTGGCTAGTGGTCTGGGCAGAAGCAAAGCCCGCCAAAAAACAGGGGGGGGTATTGTTCAGTTCATTTAAGTGAAAACCAAAGGGAAAACCACTTTTTTCAAGAGGGCCTAGGCAAAACGCATCAAGACGCGCCCTTTGTAATTAGATGTTCCAACATGAATGGCTGAAAAGAAGGTAGAATCACACTGCGCTTGTGATTTCGGTGTGTCGGTATCTTTGCCACTGCGCAGGTCTACCAGGAAAGGAACGCTGTAGACCCAATGAAGATGGTCACCAAGTGGCACCTGGGCACCAAAACAAACCAGCATGGATTGGATGTGTTTTCAGTTTTCTCCAGACCGTCCCCATCCGCTAAGCAATGTTTGGAAAGGGGTTGCGGCCCCGAATGAAGGAACCCCTCCCCATATTTTTCCAGTTGCATGTGCGAGGGAAAGATGTGTTTTCAGTCGGCGGTTGGATTCCGGACCTTTCAGGCACGATGCCTACCCGAAGCCAGATCTGGATGGGAACTACTTGGGGGATCGGTGGCCCCTGTGCGTGGACCTTCCAAAGGGTGCCTTCTTGAAGCGAGGCGCCTTGGTTTTCAACATATCGGCTGGTGAGCGAAAGCCTTTTTGTAGGTCCTTTACCTTGGCGAATCCGTTGGCCTTGGAAGTTGTTGAAAACTTGCATGTGCTCTTCATAGAAGCCAGCTACAGCAAGTTCGCCGCCTATCAAAGCAGGGGTTCTGGCCAACTTCCCGCAGAACCACCCGTAGCTGGTGTTTTTTTCACTTTACGCTGGCAGTTCAACGTGAGTTTTTGCCTGGGGTGATCTTTCACATAGAACACAGACTCGGGAAACAAATCATCCAGGCCGCCAGGCCTCGTTTGCTCTGGATCAACGTTTTGCACCCCTGCAAATAACTGCGCATTGCCTTTCTTGGATTGCCCGCGCAACGGCTTCGGTTTTTCTTTTGGTGTCCCTTGCAAACCACAAACACGGGGTGCACACAAAATATCCGATTCCTGGTTCGAAAACTCGATTCGGCTTTTTCGGCGGCGAGACTTGAAACATGGTGGCTGGACCGAACAATTGCTGCAGGTGTGAAAGGGGGTTCGAGCAAACCCTTGATGCGTGAGATGGGAATTGGGGATGCTTTCTTGAGACAGGCCCCTTGCCCCTCAGATCTCAAGCAATATGAATTGCAGAGGAAGAATGCAAAAAGTATTATATAATACATATCCAGAAAATGTAGCAAATACAAGATCTAAACAAAGTAAAGACAACAAAAAGCTGACACAAAGAAGACAAAGCAGGTCTTATGCATAAGATCTGAACAGAACAAGGTACGTGTACCTTTTTTTTTGGTCAAGCTTTAATAAGCTAAATATTCAATCAATACTGCAATAGAACATAGACATCCAACATTAGCAACCCAAAAGGATCCCCTCCACGGATGGGGATCCATGTGAATCGGGGGAGTAAGTCAAAGCCTTGCAAGGCGCTGACTACGCCTTCATCGGGAGCAGCTACGCTGACACGGACGTGCTGAGTCTTCGCACAAGCTCATCACTCTACCAGGCCTTGTGCAACCCTGCGCAGGCAAGGATGAATCAGTTCAGGGGAGACAAAACATGAAAAACACCAAAAGAAAAGCAAAAGTGCGCAACGTCTCCGTGTCTGGTGTGTGTGGCGTGGTGCTGGGTGACAAAGTGTCCAACTTCTTCTGACCTTTCTCCGGGTGTCTAAAGGTGCAGTGGATGCCTGGCCGTATTGCAAGTAAGCCATCCACGCCCACCCACAAATCCATCGGAAAGTGTGCTAATTAGCGTGCTCCCTTGTTCCCCTACTTGCAATATGCTTGGCATCCACCGTATCATTCCTAGCAGTCGTTTCTTGATGAGGGTTGTTTCTGGCTTGCAAACTCAAAGTCGGAGCTTCAGCCCCTGCAGAGAACCTAACATTTTTATGGACTTTGGTCTCCTTCAGTGTCGACAGGTCCCGGGGACAACCGCTGTTTGCTCAGGGGTCTTGCAGTTTTCCCACCCTCGTGACGCTGGCATCTGACCTTACCTGTGATGGCCAAGAGTGCGCCACCACCTTGCCAGTCGTCGTCCAAGTGGTGGAAGGCTGGCTAAGATGAAATGCTGACTTGAGCAGAACCCGAAGCATTTGTTTGCCGTTTTAGTGGGTGGCTCCATTACATGACTTCGGGGTAGCAGATAGCACATAAACCTGAGCCATACCTTTTCTGAGGATTCCCCTTGTTGGCGGAGTCAAAGGGAAACCAAAAGGAAGGGTGTCCTCTAAAACGAGACACCCCGATGTAGCATGTCCAGCTCTTTTCCAGGAAGTGTCTCTGCCTATTACCGGTATGTGCCGCCCCGCTGCGTGCATTTCTACTTTTACACTGGCCAGATCGTGGCGGCTGGAGGCATCGTTGGGCGATCCAACCAGTGTTTAAACATGCTTCCTGTTTCAACATGCTCAAACACCTACTTGTACGGCGGCAGCCTCCCCACTTGGGGCCTTGGAAACGGGACAAAGCAGTGGGCCAGGTTCCCCCAGCCCCCACCCTGGGACAGGTGCTCGGTGGACGTGGGATGGTCAGCGGAAGTTTGCAAAAGCAATCAACCTTTTGGTGGCATGTTGGTTTTCCCATTTTGGCAGCCATGGTTGACCAACCCAAAAGGTTGACCCTTGGTTTTCGGGCTTGTCTCAAATGGACCCGAACAACTGTGTGTGTTTTCCTTTTGGTTTCCCTTCAACACCACCCAAGAAGGGGAAAGACCGGTTTGGCAAGTGAGGAAGTGCTCGAACCCAGACATCGCCTTGGGGGGGTCCTACTGCTGTGCCGGGTGCTCCAACACTCCCCCGAGCGGGTGGGTGGACCTGAACCGCACTTGCCTCGACAACAAGGTCAGCAGGCGACTGCTGCAGGGGTTCTTACATCAAATGGAAACCTCCAGAAATGGGTGATTTCGGTGGAAAAGGTCATCAATCGAATCGTTGAAGGGCTTGGGTGTGTTTGTTGCGCACGGGCGTGTCATGAAGAGCCATAAGACCAGCAACGGGTCACGGCTTCAGGTTCACCGGCAACTGCAATGCATCATCCTGGTGGCCTCGGTCAAAGATCTGCGAGCAGCGGTGCTGGGAAGAGGGCGTCGGCTATGATGGACCCAACTGCAGCGCGGAAGGCAGCTATCGAGAGGAGGGCGCGGCAAATTTGCTTCAAGCCTTTTCAACCATGACATTCCCATCTAGTTGTTGGCACAAACCAAAAACTCAAGGAAACGAGAAGCTGAGCTTTTGCAAGCCTCCCCGCAGTTTGAAGAAACTCTCAGCAACCTCCTTGAAGGGAGGGACGGGGGGTGCCTTTTGAGGCTTCTCACGACTGGATCTTGTTCGCGAAGCCTCTGCCGGGGTTTTGGGGTAACCACCCCCCAAAAGAAGACCTATCTCAGAAACCTGGCGTGGTGCCAACCAACTGGCGAGTTCGCGACCTTGCGATAAAGATCCGTGGGAGATACTGGAAGAATGATTGGCGGACCTGACATTGCAAATGCTGTCCACCAAAAACCCTTTCCAATCTGTAGAACACGCTGTCGCCTTTTGTTTCCCCAACTAATGGGGTTGCTGCATGAACTGCCAGGCTTCAATTTAGCTTGGCTGGCTAGTCCAAATTTTGATGAGCTTTCCTGGTTGGCTCCTTCCAGATACTTGGGGCACTTGTCCCAACGTCCAGTGCTTAAGCAGCCTCCTCACAACGAATGGGAACGAGACGGGGCTAGATCGTTTTGTCAGACGTTGCAACAGCCCTGGTAAACTAGCAGAATGCACAATCCCGGACTTCCGATGGCAGGAGCCAAGTCGCCATGGTTCCCAAGTCACCATAGGCCGTTGAACATACTTCCGTTTGTGTCGCAATACCCCAACCCCAAAGCTTGTGCCCTCTAACACACATGCAGTCACCACACACGCACACACACACACACGTACACTTGCACACTCGTTGCCGCAGGACAGCGTCTGCGGTTTCTTCCAGGAGATGGTGCCCCTCTCGGCTGCGCAGGAGAACTGCGAAGCCATGGGCATGAAGATTTGCGACAGGCAGGTCGCTGGATGGTGTTTTCTTTCACAGGAGGGTATGGCACCCCCACAGGGCTGCCGCGATCTACCTATTCCAGTACTCTAATTATGGTTCATGCGCGAGGGATGTGGGAAAACCAACATTTATAGCATATCAGTCGGTTCAAAATGGCAATGTTCTTCTCGTTGAAGCGAAACTGATGATTATAATAGAAATCATATGTTAGGCAGGTGTCAATGCTTTTTGTGTTCAAGGCGTTCCTTCCTTTTATAAGAGCATGCCATGTACACATGATTGTATATCTATATACACTGTGTTGATCTTGCAAATTTAGATGGCATTGTGCATACATAAACGTATTATATGTATGATTATGTGTGGTGTCAGCGAGTAGTATTGCATGCTCGTCTAAAGTCTAAAATGGGATAATTGGCATTTCGAAAACCGACGAGCTTTGCCATTGATGCGGGATGACCAGGGGCCCCACTTGAGGAACACATGCTGTGTAAGTGTGACGTGCAATTGCAGTGGCCCCTTCGCTCGGGTAAGCCCGCGTAAGCACCTGGGCAGCAGTGTGCCTTGCGAGCTTGATTGAACAAAACGTTTTGAACACAGCTAAAATTAGGAACTTGCCATTCCTTGGGTGCTGCATTTTGAGAAATATCTACTTAACCTGTCATGAGCTCAAAGCACAGCTGGTTTGTCTCAAAATGAGGCACACCCCCAAAACCGGCCTGACTTTTTTCCGTTGGTCTCCCTTTCAAACAACCAAGAATGGCAGCCAACTCCCCAAAAAGAACGAACTCCAAAGAATGGGAGACACACGGTGTGCCAACATAGGAGGACCCCCCCCAAAGAGTGGTGTTTAAAAAGGATTCCCTCAAAAGCACCCACACAGCCGGATTTGCCAACGGAAGGCTCACAGCCAGCACCAAGTGTGGCTTCAACGGGGACGAGGGCAGAACGAGGCTTTGGACACACCTGCCCTGCTCCTTGAACATCTCCGTGGACGAGAACGGCTATGCACCTGGGCAAACGTGGGTGCGATGAGTAGCCCATGAGATGTATAAGTTTGCCAAGCGATTTCAAAAAGGTGTTTGAGAAACATTAGCAATGGGAAGGCTAGGGTTCACTCTTCTTCTGGCACCCATTTGACGTAATGTGGCAGCTCTCGCGGGTTCCTTGCGGCCTTTACGAGCCGATCTCGCCCAGACGGAGTCCATATATCAAACGATATCACAGAACGCAGGAACACATGAAAAGCACAACACTGAAAATGCCGAGAAACACAAATCAACCCCAAAAAGTCAAAACAACACGCAAAAAGCAACTCTCTAATCGCAGTTATTTGCCGCATCCCTGGAACAGTGCAATGCAAGAGGACCCCTCGTGTCATTTGGCTTCCTCCGCCTTGCTCGTTTTTTCCATGGTCGGCCCACCTGCGTGCTTCCTGAACGTGAGGGTGTGAGGCGGCTTACAGAAAGTGGTCTTTGGCAGTCACTAGAGCCAGTACATTTACGCATGTGTCTCAAAATGGGAGAGCCGTTTGTTAGATAGTTTGAGGAAAACCGAGAGGATCCTAATCAGTTCTTCGCAATCACTGTTGAAGTGTCCGAACCTTGTAGCTCTTGGAGCAGGTGTCAGCTGGCGCCTTGCTCGCACGTGCTCAGGTTGCGGGGCACCAATCAGATGATGCTAAAGTGAACAAGGTCTTCGTTCACTGGGACAACGGCCAGCAGGTTGGGGTAAAGCCTTGCCCTGACGATTGCACTTCTGTGGGCGCATCTTGCGAATGCCCTATGCAGATCCTGGGCTGCAATCGAGGGATACCAAGCGGAAAACCCAACGGCGCCGAGGGCCTGAATGCGACCCGAGCGGCAAAAACAGCAACGGCACCAACGGCAGCAGCAGCAACAGCAACAATACAACAACAACGCGGCTGTGTTGATTTGTGCCTCTATCTTGCGCCACCTCGGAGGTACTAGTACTACCTTTGACAACCTCCCATGTGCCTGGTATGGTGTGGTTTGTACACCACCAATATAGGCATGTACCGCGGTACGCACCACGTATACAAGTTCCGTACTTCCTTGATTATATGGATCACGAATCTTGCAGAGCATGGGCACGCAGCTGGTGTCCAACCCTTTGGATTGCACTCAAAGGCACCAGGAGGAAAGTCATCACAAGAAATCATTTTTTGTAGCCACCCTATTCCCTAGTGGAAACCGGCTCAAAATTGGGAGCGCGTGGCCCCTTTCTTTGGAAGCCAGAGGGAGTGGGGGACTCCAATGATTGAGACAAATTAGTTCTGCAAAAATACATGCCACTGGAATCCCTGGATTTACCCTTGAGTTGGGGCTTTGAGATCGTGGAAGCCATCTTAGTCACGCTGTGCGCCATTCAAAGCAAGACGGTATAACCTTCATATTTAAATGTATTGGGAGTGACTGTGGATGGACAAAATCCACTTCGCACCAGTTAGTAGGTGATTTATCCCAATATTCACAGGGCTTTATCCAAATTGGTGCAGGGTTTCGTCCATCCACATTCCATCCACAGTGTGAATTGGTAGCTACCCGATTCTCCTATTGTCAGGGCCCCCGCGGCAGTCTGCCGACTCAGCTCACATGAAAAGGAAAAGTCCAGGTAGCTGCCCTGCTGTGTGAATCCTGCGGCTGGGATGGTTGATAACCCAGCTAGCCTGGTGCCGATTGGCGTGAAATATTGTAAGCCCATGTCAGGATGAGGCCGCTGGCAACCATACGATACTTGGGTGTTCGGCCAAGTTAGTAAGTTGTTGGCAGCCTAGGTATGTGATGACCCACTTATAATTCCTCGTTCAATGGTGGGTTAAAAAATCGGCAGCAACTTGCTTAGGGAGGCCAATGGGAATAAATGCAGACAATACATCTAATTCTAATAAGAGCGGAGACGGCGGTCCAGTACACGTCACATAAACGCCAACAAGATGTGGTTGTTTCTTTCGGCTTCCCTTAAGAATAGCTCTTTTCGGTGGTTTCGAAAGAAACAAAGGACAAGCATTTTTTTTTTTGGGGGGGGGGGCTAAAAACAGACGTAGGATTCTATGGAATTTGGGGGCACATTAGGACGGAGGTGGAGACCGTCTTCACTTCAGTGCCCGCCGCCTCTGAGCTCGCAGCACTCACGGTGGGGGCCTTCCCGCCGGCGGACGCCTGCAGCGTGTGCGACGGAGAGGCCTGAGATGTGACGGCTGGGCATTGTCACGTTTGGGTTTTGGTTTGGTGAAGCTTAGCAGTTCAGCGTAGTGCCCGGAAATACCCCGCGAAGTGTTGTTTTTTTCGCCTTTCCTCCAAAACCCATGCCTGAAAACACCCTTGAAACATGGGTTGACACATCACCTCTGGGCTTTCTGGGCCCAAATAGCTACCTCGACATCAAACCATTTTGAGGTTTGGCGCATGACTTGGAAGTTGCTCGCTCCTTCTATTCGACCGTCCTGACCCGACCTGATTTGGGGTTGAGTGTCGGCTTCTATAGCAAGGACTGCAGAAGGACTCAACCTCATGGCTGGCTTCTTGGGCCTGGGGTCATTCCCTGAAGAACCGTGCAGCAGAATTCCAGCTTCGAGTCGAGCAATTTGCGTGACTCAGACCTTTCGTGGAGGTTAGTTTGTTAGTCGGCGCGGCTTAGCCAAAGATTTGGACCATACCCATCAATCCCCCCAACTGGGTGTGTCCTTGTTTGCGGTTACCCACTGTTCAGGTTTTCAAAGGGAACCGAACGGCAAACCCCATTTTTGCGGGGTCCCCCAAAAATAGATGCGCCCAACTAAGACCCAAGCAAAATCCTTGGTTTGACCAGGTCAAGGCGTACCACACCTCTGGCACCGTGTGCGATGCCAAGACCATCTTCGAGTATCAGGGCAGGTTCTACCGCAACATTCGCAGCGTGGTCCGCGTGTCAGGGAAGTCCTTCAGGAGTCTGACAGTGCGTTTCACCTGGCAGAGATTGAACGAGCTTTCTAATCAGGGGGGCTTCCACTAGCTGGTGGCCAAAAAGGGAGCCGGGGGGTATCCAAAAAAAATGCCGTTTAGATACGAGGAGTTCTGGTTAGGGACATGGAAGAAATTCCAATCGCACTGAAGTCAGGGCCCGCTCAAGGGGGCCAGCATGTGGCTTACTCGAAGTTTGGGATGCTGAAGGCAGGCGCCCCAAAAGCGCCGGCATCATGTCTCACCACGTGTCTCCTCCAAAACTGCTTTATATTTCGGGCATGCTAAACGAATGTGTCTTTTTGTTGAGGGTCGGGAAGAGCAACAGGAAACAACTCATGTTCAGGGTTCTACCTCAATATGAAACAGAATCCGAATCTGAACAGCGGGGTAAGTAGAAGCCTGGCTTTCGCGAGGAACCCGCCGGTGATCGGCTTCTACGAGGAGCCCACGGAGCGCTCCGCCATCTGGGAGATTGAGAGCCTGCTGGAGCACCTGGTAACCTGGGCTCTTTAACGGCCATCCAAGAGTGGGTTGGTGTGTCTGGGAACGCCCCCCCCCCCCCACCAAGAAAAATGGAATCCGCAAGATCCGCGCCTTGGGTTTCGGAAGGATTTGGCTCATATTTGCTTGAAGAGCCAAGGTAACTCATCCCAACACCCCGGCCTTCATCAGCTATCGGATGATTCAGCGCTTCACCAGCTCCAACCCCTCTGGGGTATATGTCCAGGATGTGGCAGAGGCCTTCAAGACAGGAACATACAACAGCAAGACCTATTCCGGCAAGTATGGCGACTTGGGAGCAACCATGGCGGCCATTCTTCTTCATCCGGAGGCGGGAAAAGCGCGACGTGTGAAAGCATCCCAGGTACGCTTTGAGAGAACAAAGAAAAGTAAGCAAGTTGCTCAAAAAATAGTGGTTTAAACCCACGTAAAAAAGGAGGTGGCGTGAGCACAGTGGTTTTTAAACCTGCTTTCTCAGAGGGGACCCGCCACTCCCTTTTCACCCTGGAGGCGAGAGTACAGGCAGGGCAATTCCGAGAGCCTTTGATCAAGCTGACCCATTTCCTTCGGGCCATGGAGTTCGAAGATGCGGCCAAGCGAAGCATCTTCTTTGATGAGGTGCAGGAAGCCATTGGCCAGGCCAGCGAAGAACTGACCGCCCAATTTAGCTGTTGACAGGCCAGAAAGGATGAGTCGGTGAAAAAGGTATGGCAGTTTACTCATGATGAACGTCCTTGGCTTGGAGATCCGCTGTTGGGCATTAAGTCATGGCGAATTACGGTGTTCGTTTGCGGGGGGGTCCTTGTTCTCATGTGTCGCACCTTCATTGTTTGGGGGTTCCTGGTGAGACCACCCCAACCCCCCGTGAAGGTGAGGGGGAGTCCTGGGGCCATTTGTCTATCAGGACCATTGGACCATTCAATTCTCTCCTGTCCCACAACTCTTCTATGTTTAGGGCATGAACTAAGCAAAAAAGGAATTTTGTTTTAGAGTTCTTAGCTAGAAATAATGTCTTTTTTCAAGCGGCCATGTCTGGATAAGAGATCAAAGAACTGGCCATGAAAATCGCCACACTCAATTCGAATACTTTTTAGCAGGCACATAAACACGAAGAGCATTAAGTAACGCTAGAACCGAATTCTCGACCTGTCTAGACTCTGGGTGTTTGTTGCTGGGAATGTGGCATCTCTTAGACTTGCGCCGCGCGAGAGACGAGCTGAACCCTGGTCTGTGGCATGCCCCGAAGGTTGCCGTCACTGAATGTTCACACGTGCCCTCGCACATAGGTTCCCTAATTCTTGGAAGCTAAGAACACCAAATGCAAATGGTAGGAATCGCCGGGCATGTGGGCCCGTGCCGAAATTAGGTTGGAATCCGCAGCATGTGGGACTTGGCCTGGTATCCGCTTCATTGTTGGAAGGATTGTGTAATACTAGGGTTAAAGTCAGAAACTGGGCCTGTTCCCCTGCACCCCTCAAGGGGTGACTTATGGCAAAATCATGGGCCCAGTAAAAAGAACGTAACATAACCAGGGTTTGGCTTCTAACTTGTACCAACCCGCGTGATCCTCAGGAGCCCTTTGCCTCTCCCACAGTCTTCAACTTCTATCGGCCCGACTACTCGCCGTCAGGCGGGACATGGGTGCACTAAGCGCGTGCAAGTTCTTCAAAGTAAGGTTCCTCTAGCTCACCTGTCCAAAGCAGACCTTTTGACGTTTTGCGTGTCCCCTGTTGGTCCATGTTTCGCCAAGGTTCCATAAGGTTGACCTTGTATTTCCAGGCCCTTTGGGCACGCGTGCTAGGCATCATCCTAGGCTCTTTTGAAGTGAGTTGCTCCTTAGGCATCGCTACATCCCCCGTTCGAACGATTGTTCTTTGCATCCCTTTGAGGGCCTTGAATTGTGAGTTTCCCTTCGGGCTAGCAATATCTTCTTGGGAAAGGCAAGTTTTGACATCATTCATCGTCTTCGCAAGCTCGCTTCAAATGTCACCTTGCAGGATCGCCTTTGCGGCCCATGCGATACAGTATCACTTGATTTCTTGGAAGGGTGCGTTTGCATTTGTTTCGCTTTGGTAATTGTGGGGAGGTTTCCTTGGGGGTGATATTCACAGGCCAACACGCCCAGTCTATGGTCCATTTGGAAGGGATTTGGGAATACAGTTTGTTTCCTCTAGCCTAGAGGGGGCAGCTGCTGTTTACTTGGGCGTGGGAACTCCAGACTATTGACAGGCTTCCCGGAGGGCAAAGTGTCCCCGGAGCTGCAAATTTTCGACTCCTCCAGCGCGGTGAACTTCTTGAACGGCCTCTTCTCCCTCATCACGACACTTGGACTATGTTATCTTACGCGAGTTCCTGGAAGAACCATTTTGCGGACCATGTTTTGTGGCAAAGGTTCATGCTGCTTTTAGCTCTCTTTTGGGCAACTTGACATCTCGGATCGGTGCTTCCTTTCAAGTGAGCTCTCTTCCGTGCAACTTGTCCATCTCGTGTTTTGACCTGAAGGTTGGTCCCCATTTTTCATCTCTCATGTTGACCGGGAGGTATGTCCCGTCTTTTCCTTCGAGTGACCTCTTTTTTAGAATCTCGATTTTTTGACCGGGAGGTTGGTCCCGTCTTTCCCTCTGACTCAGCTGTCTTCTGGACAGCTTTTTCAATCTCGGATTTTGACCGGGAGGTTTGTCCCGTCTTTCCATGAGCATGTCAGGTTTTGACCGGAGGTTGGTCCCTCTTTCTGTTGGAGTCAGCTTTCTTGAACAACGTTTGCATCTTGGCTTTTGACCGAGGGGTTGGTCCGGTCTTTCTATTCTCAGACTTTAAGTGGCAGGTTGGTCCCGTCTTTCCCTCTCATCACCTCTCTTCTAGACAACTGTTTCATCTCGGCTTCTGACCTCCGTCTTCCCTCTGAGTTGGAGGTTGGTCCAGTCTTTCCCTCTGAGAGTTAGCTCTCTTCTGGACAACTTTTCCATCTTGGATTTTGTTCGGAAGGTTGGTCCCATATTGTTTTCTGGACAGCCTGTCCAAATCGGCACTCCTTTGAACAAATTGTCCATCTCACGGAGTTAGTTCCCATCTTTCCCTGTCAGGACAACTTGTCCATCCTAGTTGGTCCCGTGCTTCCTCCTGAGTCAGGTTTTTCTGGACAAGATTTCCATCTCGAATTTTGAACAGGAGGAGGTTGGTCCCGCCTCTCCTGAGTCAGGTCTCTTCTGGACAACTCTCGGATTTTTGACTGAGAGGTTGGTCCCGTCCCCGTTGTTCCCTCGGAGCAGCCTCGATTTTGACTGGCAGGTTGGTCCTGTCTTTCCCTCTGAGTCGGTCTCTTCTGGACAACTTCCCATCTTGGATGTTGACCGGGAGGTTGGTCCCGTCTTTCGATCTGAGTCAGGTTCTTCATCTCGGATTTTGCCGGAGGTTGGTCCTTTCTTTCCCTCTGAGTCAGCTGTCTTCTGGACAGCTTTTTCATCTCGGATGTTGACCGGGAGGTTGGTCCCGTCTTTCCCTCTGAGTCAGGTTTTTCATCTCGGATTTTGACGGAGGTTGGTCCCGTCTTTCCCTCTGAGTCAGCTGTCTTCTGGACAGCTTTTTCATCTCGGATGTTGACCGGGAGGTTGGTCCCGTCTTTCCCTCTGAATCAGCTTTCTTCTGGACAGTTTTTCATCTCGGATTTTGACCGGGAGATTGGTCCCGTCTTTGCCTCTAATTCCGCTGTCTTCTGGACAGCTTTTTCATCTCGGATTTTGGTTGGTCCCGTCTTTCCCTCTGAGCCAGCTGCTGCTGCTGCTGCTGCTGCTGTTGCTGCTGCTGTTGTTGTTCTGTCAAAAACTGGCACCCATCTAGTAGTACTGGGTGCCTTGCTGAAGGTACTGCAGTGGATCTCGGGTGCCCGGAATCCTTGCTTGGAGCAATGGCTTCAGGACAGTTCCCGGGATAACCTTGAGTTTTACGCATTTGTTGCTCGCTACCGTTGCTGTTCCAGAAGGCTACAAGCCTGGCCCACTCTTTATGCGTGCAAGCTGGCTCATCATCTCTTGAAATCTCATCGCCTCGAGGCATGCCGGAGTCACCGATTGCGAGCTTGGACTGGGCGTTGACACGGGCCTGAATCTTGGCTGGTATGTGCTTAAAGCTGTTTTTTGGGGTGGGGGAGCTGATGATTTTCCCCGCAAACACTTTAGCTTTTTTGCGCCGGGAAAGACTTCCAGGAAGTGCTCCCAAAATTCCTTCAAATTGGACAACAACACTGACATCAACGAGCTGGATTTGTTGCTCACCGGGTCTCGCATGAGCAACAACTCCCGGGAGGCCGGGGGGCGGAGGGGTTGGCACCCAAAATAAAAGACCCCTTCAGATGCGTGCTGTCTTTGTGATCTCTTTCTGGGCGCCACGAAGCTCCCCTTGTTTGGAGACGGGGCCAGGGCCAGTACAACAAACGGGGAGAGCGGACTCAATGCTTTTTTGCAGTTGCCATCGTTCACCTGCAGCCTGTCTCCGTCCAGCTGGTTCCAAAGGAGAAGAAAGGCCCCAGGGAAGGACCACTTTTTCCAGGTCGCTGTTGCCACGATCCATTTGATTCCAAACGGGCCGCAGCAGGGCCCGCAGCACAAGACAAGACGGAGCTGCGCTCTTTCCATGTTTGGCAACTCTGGGTGCACGTGGATTAGGTTTGCAAAGCCGGCCTGTCCACTTCAATGATTGCCCGATTGGGGGGAAGCCCAGCACTGCCTCTAGAACCCCTGAGGGTCTTTTTCCGCCGGGGAGGTCCGTTCAAGCTTTCAATGTAGCCTTGGTGCCAAACTTGAAGGAATGTTACTTTTGCAAGCTGTTAAGGAGAATCCAACCGAAAATCATCAATGCTTAGCAAAAGAGAATCATCCTGCCCGGGCACGAGCCCTTCAGCACGTTTCCAGAAACTCGTAGTTATTCCTTTTGATTGATTTGCTATGTGTTTTCCACTGTAAACCACAAGGGGCCCTGACCATTCTTTGCATCAAGCGCAAGCTGCAAATTGGATTTGTTTTCCAAGCCGCCAGGCAAATGTGCGCCTTTTGTGGCGAACTCACTTGCAGATGAAACAAGGTTGCTATGATGGCTTTCCTTTGGGCATCCCTCATGTTAGGTGTAGTTACGTTTGAGACAGGTTTAGAAATACTGTTCAAAGAATTGTGTCGCTTGCTTTTGTGCATTCTCATGGAACATGTAAATTCACAGGCGTTCTAAATACACTCAATGTTGGAATTCTTGTAGATTTTTCAGATCCTTGGCTTACTCTGCTCACTAAGCCCCAATCAAATCCTTGAGCCGTGACTAGGTGAGGCTCCCAACGGAATCAGCCGCCTTTGTAACTCCTCGCAGCTTCGACCTTTACATATGTTTTGCGTTCGGCTTTCCGTTCGCGAGTGCAACGCTTCGGTAGACTTGGGGACCAGTTCGATGTCGCCGGGCAACACATCCATCAGGGTTCAACGTGAACCTGCAGAGTAGTCTATTCATCGCGCCAAAGTTCTAATAGGGGCGCTAAGGTGCAGCGCCAAGCTGCATGCAGGGCAAACACGCGATGGCCAAGTCGCAGCTGCCAAGCGATATCCCTTCCTTCAACTTTTCAATTGGCAACCCGTTGGGCAACTCGTAAGCTGGAGTGCGGAGGAGTTCATAGAGAAGCGCCGGACATGACAAGGCTCTTGTTCTGACTGGCCAATCCACACCCCTTAAGTCTTAAGTAATGTATGGAAAGAAAAAGGTCCCATTCCGGCGCAGCCGTGCGCAGCCGTGCGCAGCCGTGCGCAGGTGGCAGTTTCCTATGGCACCGACTTCAAGACTTTGCCGCTTGCTAAGAGTCAGCTAACCTTAGTTGATGGTTCGGATTGGCGGTATGGGGGGAAGGCGCCCCTACGTCGGGGTTGCTGATTTGGCAGTACTTGAAATGAGGAATGTCCTCAAAAATAGCTCGTGAGGGTAGTAGACGCAAATCTCCACCCCATGATGTCCTGAAGAATCACAGCGGTTTTCGGTTGCAGCTCAAACAAAAGGGCAAAGCTTTGAACTTCTCATGGCAGCCCAAAAAAAGACGCGTTGTGCTGCCGAAAGCCGTGGGGGGGGGGGGGGGCGGGTAACACGAAGACGCCTAGCTGGTCAAGGCGGATTTTGAGACATGTTTCCTCACTTCGTGAAGCCCGGCGGCCTTCTTGACTGCGCAATGGAAATCCTGACAGAGGGACGGATGCTTCCGGCTTGACGGAGCTTGAGGGCTTTTCCGCCAATTGGGAAGCCTCACTCCCTGAGCTCCTGGACTTTTTTTTTCTTTGGGAAGACAATTTTAGGGGTAAACGACTATTTTGGCTCCTTTAGGTTGCCAATCCTCTCAGCAAGTGAGCTTGTAGTTTTCCGGGAGGAACTAAATTCGAGGGAAGCGCACCTTGTCAAGAGCTGAGAATGGAACCCAAGCTCACCACCACCAATTGCAGAAAAGCTGGATGTTTCTCAAAATCGGAGTCCCCAAAATGGTTGGCGTCGGTTTTTAATATCGGCACAAGGGGCCCAGAGGTATTAGAAGCTATTTGGGGTCCACACCACAAACTCCAGAAACCACCGGAAGCAGAGTGAGTTTTTCAGGTTTCCGAGCCGTTTCCCTCCGCTTCCGAGGTCGGAGGCCGTGTTGCTCTCCCCCGAGTTCAACGCGCTGGGCGCCGTGGAGGCCATGGGCCCTCGCACCAAGCAGAGCGCCACGGGGTCGACCAGTTCCCCCAGGTCCTACAAGGCGCGGCCCGGGGGGGGCGGGGTGAGGTCCACTGCCGGGGTACCGTATCCCAGCAGGTACCTTGTGGTAGTAGAGAATGTATGTGGTGGTCAAGAGAGTCCATTATGCCAATAGTGGAGGAACTGAGAATGGATGTCCCTGGTCCTGTGATCTGTGGATTGTTCCTGTAAGGCGCTCTGCTGCTCTCCTTTTGTAATGGCTGCAGAACGAGTACTGCGTTACCTATTATACAAGAGGGGCCTTGAGCCAAAAAATCACAATGGTTGTTCCAGGGTCAACATGCGAAGCAAAAGCAACACAAAACAGACACAATTTCTTTTGACCCTGAAGACCAAAATGGTATTCTTGGCTTCATGGAGCTTGGCAATCTCGGATTGACGGAATTCTTGTTGGATGCTGGTCTTTTCCCAACTGAACACGAAGGTCATCATGCAATCTGGAACCGTCCGGTCATATCCTGAACCTGTCTTCATATGAAGATGGTGGCGAGCACTGGGTTTGATTGTGCATGAAGTAGACATGGAAAAATCCATTCGTTCCGCCAACGGCATGTCTTGTGTCTCATTCCAAAGTTTCTTGAACTTCTCCATGATGTAGTTCATGAGGCCGTTTTCAGGATTGTAGACGGATTGCAGCTTGCTGAACGTGTTCGCGGATTTGCTGGCATCACCTGTGATCACATCGCATTGGTATTCCGTAACGAGCGGCATGATACCTTTCTGCGTGTCTTCTTTTGCTGCACCGTGGCTGATGTTCGGATGGATATGGAGCACTCCAATGGTGGCAAATGCAAGATCAGCTCGGGTAACATGGCGTGCGTCGTAGGATAGAACAGGATCCTGGATCTCATTGTTCTGCTCGATGTGGATGACGACAATCTCACAGCTCTTGCCATGCCATTGAACGGCCGTGCGCGGTGGCAATCTCTGTCCAACGTACTTCTCCTTGTTGTCGAACATGGATGTTCCGGTGGATGCCAGGCACGAGTCCGAAGAAGCGTCTGAACATGCCGAAATTATGTAGTACTTCAACATTGGCTCTTGGTTGAAATGTAACGTGCCAATAATTCGACTCTGGCGTGCTTACCACCTCAGACAAAGCATGCGATGGACTTGGATGACCATAGCTTGAGAACGATGCCCTTGTATCCGCATTTGATGAGCAGTTTGATGAGGTCGATGGTCTTGTCCTCTTCCGGCCGGGTAGCAGAACGAATCTGCCGCGTTGATGCAAGGATGTTTGCACTGTTCTGCACCATCTGCATGATGAGCGGTCGGTGCTTGATTGGCCATTGCTTGAGCTCACGATTATCCAGCTCCGTGTTTCACTGTCAGGACGTTGAGTGAAATGGTGGATGGATAATCTTTTCTCTTGAGGTAGTCGACACCGTGGCCGTCAGTCCGTTGCATCAAAGATCCCAGGATGTTCGTGAATGACTTGATGAGCTCGGGATCGTGGTGGTTCTTCAACTGCTTGAGTCCGATTGGAAGTCTGAGTGGATACCCCGAAGGGTTCTGTGCTGCTCTGTGAACTCTTCCATGGTCGGATGTGCACTTGCGTGCTCGAAGTAGAACTCATCGTCCTCGATGTTCTCATCTGGATTCACGTGTGCCAAAGATCTCAATTCGCAATCAGTCAGGTCTTTGTGTACATTCGTTGGATCCTTGTGATACCTCTCCATGAACTCCGTGAATGATTGTTGAATTTCGACGAGCTCTTTTGCGGCATCGGCCTTGGACATGTCCCGGTCCAAATAGATTTCCTGAAATTCGTGATTGAATTCAGTCAAACTGGCCGGATTAGGAGGTTCCACGATGACCTTGACCTTGACCTTGACGGATCACACGTGGGTGTGAGCGCCTTGAGGGTATCCGGGTCAGACAGCAAACTCGGGTCGAGCAGACCAATCTGCAAACATGCATGTTTCCACTTGCGTCCATCATTGAACGCCTTGGTATAGATGTCAGCCGCCATCCTGTCGGTGACTTCATACGCCAAGTACATATATTCACGTGTGAACATTTCATGCATCCACGAAATGCAAACACCATGGCTTCTCTCAAGGTGGCGCATCGTAGGGTTTCTCCCCGACCGCACGACACCGATCATAGCCTTGTTATCGTCATAGAACACGAAGTTCGGTGACTTCTTGAGAATCCGCTGTAACAACTTAAGAGCAGGCATACCCATGGCTCTCATGGCAACATCGGCCGCAACAATTTCGGCCTCAGGAGTTGAGTGACTCACGCAACCCTGTCTTTTTGAGCTGCCAGACAACGGAAATCTCGTATTAGGTCCTTGTATGTTCAAGTGCCCACCAGAGGTGGAGCGCAAGGATTCAACACATCCCGCAAAATCAGCGTCAGCATACAAGGCCAGGTGCACATCGTCCGTGGAGTCTCCGACCCAACCGACCATGCGCCAGTGTTTTGTATGATGCACATAACACATCCGATCGTCGGAGTCAGTCCACCTGTGCACGTTCCGTGCCAGGCGATTCACTTGCCGCAACAAATCGAAGCGGGCAATCCGCGCACCGTACAGCAACTTCATTAGTACGCTAGCGGCATGCGGAGCAAGGTGTCCACGCACGGGCTCCTTCGTGGCCAACTCAGGAGTCCCTCCCCGCTGGTCCGGCACTGTGGCAGAACCGTCGGTGGGCACAAGATTGTTACACCAATTGCACACGACTGACGGTCCCTCTTTTGCAGGCTTCCGTGAGACGTGATTCATTGCTTCTTCATGCAACTCAGGTGTGACGACCTTATTCAACTTTACGTCGCCCGCCACCTCAAGATAGCGGTCGACACGGGAACGTAGGAACTGTTCCATGTCATAGGTCACCGTTGTGACGCGGTGTCCATTCCCGAGTGTGACGTTTCCCTTACTCTGATTACAACCAAGGTACATGTCAAGTCCAGTCTCGGGTTCAATCTTCAAACGTGTACGCAACATGCTCCATCCCTGGGCAAGGTTCTTCTGTGGCCCTGCCATTTTGAAGTCATCAACATACACAACCAGAACAAGTTGGAGCTTTTCATGAATGTACACTGACGGCCATTCCTCACCGATGGGTTCACATCCAACGGCGCGCACCGATTCATCACAGTGCTGCTCCCAAAATGTTCCTGCATCGGGATGTCCGTACAGTGCCTTCCTCAGTGGAACAACTGGCCTCCTGTACTTACCCCAATTACATTCACTCGGCACAGCCTCAGGTGGCAATTCTATCCAACATGGCGTGCCCCTCAGTGTGGCCTGAATATACGCTTGCACAGCGTCGGCCATCTGCACATCCCAACCATCATGACAACCCAAGAAGTCCGCCCAGCGCGAGGCCTCAAACGAAGCAGGAGAGTTCCCCAGGTCTTGAAACATCGCAGCTTCAAAGCTTTGATTCTTCACTTGGTTCCCCAGCAACACGCCTCTACCCTTGAACTTTCTCTTGGGATCGCCAACAGGCAACTGTGAGTGCTTTTCAACGCAAATGCCATGTGCGCGAGCCATATGTATCTCTTCCCCTTTCGCTTTTGCCTCCTTGACCACAGCGTCATATTCTCGCACTGCACCAAGGTCGAAGACGCCCTGGTCGATTAATCCCGACCATTCTTTCTTCATGGACGCCAGGGCATCAGGGTTGGTCAACATCTCTTTTCGGCCAACCGGCCTGGCCACCAATGCGTCGAAGAATCGAACAACTTTCGCGGCTTTCTCCTTGTGCTGTATTAGCTCAGAGGTCACGCACGGCATCGATAGGTATTTCTTAGCTTCGCCATCTTCTCCTTTTGCGGGCAACGCGAGCGGTACTTTTCCTGAGACTACCTCAGCAGACTCCTCCCATTCGTACCAGGTAAAATCCGTCTGCGTATCATCCGCAGGATCCGTCCCCGATATCAGTTCAGCTTCGTCTCTCTGACGCTCAATGACTGACGCAACTGCCTTCGTCCAATTTGGAGTCGACCTAGATCGCTCCTCAGATTTGAACTTCCAGGCGTATATGACGACCAGACACACAAATTCTTTCTCAAGCTGAACATTTCGTCTCACGACGTCTTGGGATTGCTTGGAATCCATGAGGACAAACCACTCCCTTCCGCAATCCCCAATTGTACTGCCATTCAACTCCACCCCAGCGGTTTCGAAGCATTGCTCGAATTCTCTTACCGCCGGGCATCTGCAATTTCTGCGTCTCAGCTGGCGCAGAAGTCCCAGATTCTTTACTCTTGGGTCCGTCTTTCTTCTTCTTGCCACCACCCTTCACCACGGCTTTCTCATCCTCGGTGTAGTATTTCCTCATCATTGCCCATTCATCAGGAGTGTATTCTGGAGGTCTCGTTGTCTTCATCAGCCTGAAGCCGTCTTTCCCAACGGGATAAGGTCTTCCGGCCTTGTCGATCTTAACCTCCCTGCCATCATCGTTGATGTACGTTATGCCATCCCCAGGTAGTCCAGCTGACACATGTGGAAGGTCGGGCTTCACAACTTCCTCATCGCCCTTTGCATGTCCATCACCTTTCCCTTTTGACGAGCTCGGTCTAGCATCCTCTTCTTCTACATGATTCCCCCGATCTCCGACAAGTATCTCCGGACCTTCGTCAAGCAGTAGACCAGCGATCTGATCGACCTCATCGTCAAGCAGTCGCTTTTCGTCACTCTGCAATAACTCGGGCTCGTAGTCCTCATCCTCGACCAGGCGATCACGTGCATCCAGACCGATTGCATCGACGGACATCTCAATCCCCTCCAAAGCTTCATTCGCAGCTTTGTACTTCTGTTGTATAGGGAATGTCAGAGGTGATTTGAGAATCATCCTCTCCGTTTGATGTGGCATTCTCAACCGAGGTTCTTGATGTTCAGTTCTGCACCTGCAAACGCTGTGAGGGCCCAAGCCCGATACTTGTTCGCCCAATGCATCCCGGTACTCAACACATATCCAGCAAATATACCAGTTTCCCCCCTAGGTTCGAACTTCTCCCTTTTCTCCCCTCGTGCTTCGCTCG